ATTAAAGACAAAATCTTAGATTAGATTATGTCAATGTAACATATCAATATCACTTTTATATTTTTGAAAACATTTAAATATATATGATTTGAGAGATTTGAGATTTTGCTAGTTTAAAGAATTCTAAACAGTAATTGGAAAATATAATTTTTAAAGGTACTGCCGTGGCAGCCTCGCCAGTCGCATTAGCAGCATATATTTTGGAAAAGTTTAGTACATGGACGAATCCAGAGTACAGATTTCGAGCGGATGGTGGTCTCCTCGAAAAATACACTTTAGATGAGCTCTTAGATAATATCATGCTTTATTGGGTTACCAACTCTTTCACTACGAGTGTACGACTTTATGCCGAACAGTTTACGAAAACTGCTATGGCGTTGGATATCGATGAGTATGTTTTTCTTCTAATTACAATTCTACTTTTCTAAAAATTTTCTATATTTGAAAGAAAATAATAGCTTTTGCTTTATTTCTATTGATGAGTATGTTCAATTTCTAGTTTGCCTGTTGATGTGCCAGTAGGGTGTGCAGTATTTCCTCATGAGCTAGCTTATCAACCGAAAAGCCTCCTTGGCAATAAATTTACTAATCTGATACAATTTAATCATTTGCCACGAGGGGGCCATTTCGCAGCATTTGAAGAACCGGCTCTTTTAGCGGATGATATCTTCAATTTTGTGTTTACGGTTGAAGATATCATAAAGAAAAACAATGCTAAAAACATACCAAACGTAGAGAAGAAAATAAAGGAGCCTACGAAAATTTGAAATAAAATATTTAGCTGTGCTTTTTTTTAACTTATAAGAGGATAATAACATGCAAAGCAACAAACTGGATTTGATTGTTTATAGAAACAATGTTGTTGTATTTTTTCTAATTTTGTATAATATAGATATGTGCTTTGAATAAAATGCTTACTTTTCTAATTCTTTATTCGATACTATTTTCGTATAATTATATATTTAAATTTATATTTAAAAAATTATCGTTTTAAAAAAATATTTCCTAACATATAAAATTTTTTTATTTTAATGTTTATTATATCAATAATATGTTTTTTTTATCTATTTAGAGAGAAATAAAGGTACGTTTAATTGAAGTAAAACTTTTATCTTGATGTATTCAACTTATATATCGGAAATCCGTCTAAAAATAAACTAATTTTTTAAATCATGAAAGAATATTAATGAATGCATTGTATAATATTGACGGTTGTCAAAAAAATAAGTATTGCATGCCTTAAAGATATTAGAGATTATTAAACCATTAAAAGAATTAAATTTTTCTTTTTTTGTTATTTGCAGCTAAAATTGCAAAATACATAAATTTGTTAACATGTTTTCCGTACTTTTAGATAAAAATATTAACTTTAGTGAGAAAAATTTAGCAGTATGAAAAAATCAATTTTTTAGCTTTTAAGTAAATGAAAAATTATATCCACTTTTAAAAATCTGAAAAAATTGTCAAAAATACTCTAATATACATACATGGAATATGATATCACGAGGAAAATTGGAATTGTAATGATGCACTCATTAATAAATTTTGTTTTTCAAAACAAAATTAGAATTTCGATTCCAAAAATTTCCTTCTTAGTACTCTAAATTTTCTTTATAATACATCATAACATATACATATTAGAAGATTTTTTTTTAATTTTTAAAAGAAGATATAATTTATCTTTTTTAGGCAGATTCTTGACACGTGGAACACGCCATATATATATATATATTTTACCACTGTGTCATAATTGTTGTTTTGCTTTATAATAAACAGATATTAACAAGCTTAATATATTAATATAAATGACTATGCAAATAAGATTAAACACTTCATTAACATCTGTTTGATTGTTAGAGTAATATCCATTTTCATCTAATGTGTTTACATTCGCAAAAATAACGAACGAATATACATATAAACATAGAAATATATATTTTTTTGTTTAATCTCAACTATAATCTCATCGTATAATCGTACGTTGAATATATATTAGCGAAATTATAGAAAATATTGAATCTTTTCCATAAAGATCTTTCTAAAGGGTATGATTTTCTTTCCGCTCTTTCGTATCGTGACTCTTGAAAATTGAGGCTTTCCGACCTATTCACAGATGACCGGACAGCTCTCGGTAGGCGGTAAGCAACAAAGGACCCTATAAGAAGTCTGTGGAAGGGGCAGCGACAGACCCTCTCCGATTCCCAAACGTGACGCATATGATGCGTGCAAGTGCGACGAAAAGAAATTGTTTCTGTTAAATAATTGACACTGGCAGACTTAAAAATCTCGATCGGTTTAATTTCCGGTGCTACTGCAGATAGTGACAAATCTATGTATAATTATCTTGTGCTGATTAAGAATTGTTCAAGTGAAACCAAATTGGAATCATACATTTAATTTTGTGTTGCCTATAAATAATGCAAATAAATATTAAGAACATTTTCACGTGCGTATGTTGTCTGTATGTCTATAATTCCGTATATAAAGTTAACTGAAGTATAACCAAGAATGAAGATTCTCAATCTTTTCCTAGATTGCATTATATTTAGATGAAAGTAATCAATTGATGAAAATATGGGAACGATCTTTCAATGTGAAATTATGAAATTACGATAAAAAAAATGCATGCCTATTGGAATAATTGAGATGTGTTTCACTGACGATTCCTGAGAAAAATCTTTTAACTCGGTAAAGAATAACGAACGTCCAGAAAGGAAACGGCACACAAGAAAAGGTGGCTATTTTTTTCTAGATATACCTAGTTTTCGAAGGATCCCTGTGGTTATAGAGCGGTGACGAAGCACGAGGCACAAATAAACGAAAGTTACCGATTGTTTGGAGATTGTCAGTACGTATATACATAGTTGCAGTCAGAATTCAGTGTCGCGCGTATCACAAGCCTGTTTCTCTCCGCTCATGCAGCAATTTGTCGTCGATTAGTATTATCACGTAATTGCAATGCACGTAATTTCAAAGCATCGACATCGCCAATGTCGTGAAGATTCGATCGCATTTCGTCTCCGAGGTCTCGAAATTTTCCGCACAACGATCACCTCGGCGAAGTAAGATGACGTTACGTTGTCGCCTGCGGTTACATATGATTTCTTTCTTTGTCAGCGAGGAACATCGGGCTTACCGCGTGTGTGTGGGCCGTGTGTGGCGACAAATTCCAGCCGACAGCGTGGGACGATCGGCTTGAAACAAGAGGGAACCGCGTCGACCACGTGACGGCATAAAGTGCAAGACGCCGGCGCGGTGTAATCATTTCGTTCCGGCGATATGACAGGCGGGAGGATGGGAGCAGAAGGAGACCCGACGACAATAATCGTCTACGCGGATGTTTACACGCAGGAAACGCCGAGCACGTCCGAGCATGAGCTCAGGTGAGTGTGTGACGTGTGTACGTGCGTGCGTGCGTGCGTGCGTGCGTGATGTTATGCGTTCGTTACGTCGAGGTTACGTCCGAGGTAATACACCGTAGTACATACTATTATACATATTGCTCATCGTTAGCCTGCGCTGTCATTTGCCAGGGAAAAACGGTCACTGACCGGCGAAAGGCACGAGCAAAAATAAGAATGGACCGCCGAATGAACTAAGGCGCACAAAACATATTCTAATGCGTTTAACGTTTCTTCTTTTATTTCGTGTATTGTATCTTAAATTGGACGGACGAGGCAAAGATGATTTGAAAACGCTGATTAAACCTTGCTCTTCTCTCGTTTCTTCTTAGATATGTTAAATACTCGCTGATTGAAATGATTGGAGAAAGGTGAACAGTATAATGCGTGCAAAATGATCGAGATGGAAATTGAGATGAAAAATTCGACAAGAATGTGACTCTTTCATCGACCAGATCGTTCCTTTTGTAATACATACGAGCGGAAGAGAATATATAATTTTTTTTAGCAAGCGTCTGCGAAACTTTACCTCGGTTTCAAAGGTCTAACGGGCACAGTGCACATACAAAAGTTTTCTGTCACGGTCTGTTTGACATTCGTGGTACATACAATTCGCACATGAGCCGGCACCGTGCAACGTGATGTGCAACGTCGCGCGGTACACACCTTAACATTAAATATCCCGTCCTTCCTTTTGTACGCCGATATCTCGTCCTCGGCGGGTAGCTTCAAGTGCCGGGGCAGTGTTATACACATATATCTCTCCTGGACACTTTGCGTAACTCGACACGTGCTAACTCGGCGACTATTAAATGCGCGAATTTTCCGAGAAACTAATGCTTGCGCAGCGCAAATGAATCCCTCTCGCGCACACGTGCCAAAATGACGCAAGAAATTAGGCGCTTGGCGCGCGTTCGAAGTAGCAGATTAAATGTAGTTGTCAGAATCGCGGATCTAAATGTGACAATGCGCGATCCGCCGCGCCGAAAGCCGGGAATTTCTGCACGCGAAACGTGAACGCTAACAAATAGCGGCTATTATAATTTGTACGGAATATATTCTTTGGGAGACGTTGGCACGGGAGTTCCAATTTTTTTATCCTCGCAACACGCGCTTCTCTCGCTTGCTTGAGAACCGGTTTCATATCGACCACGTTTACATGCGCGTCTCAAAAAGGAGGCGCGACGTGAGCCAAGAAAGGAGCGTAAGGTACCTTTCGACGAAGCGCAAACACTTTATTTAATATTCGGCAGCGTAGAGGAAAGGAAAACGGAGAAATCCCGGCGCGAAACGCGCGCCGGAGAATCGGATGTAATCGAAAAATCTGGCTGATAAAATTGCAACGGTAAATAAGTATATTGCAGTGTACTTTGATATGTGTTACGGTACGTGAATTCTCGATCATCATGCTCGATAGTGATTTCTACGTAATTCCCACGCTATTTTCAAGCGCAATTTTCAATTAATTCAGCTTATGGAAGATTTTTTTTATCACGACGGGGTTAAGTGCTTTGTTACATAACAATAAAGCGCGTATTTAAAGAGACGATTATTTGTCGCAAACATAGTTACAAACGAAAGTACAGTGCGTCGCGATTGATTGATGCTTTAGCCGTTAAAAAAATACAATATGTTTTCGGAAAAGTATCAGAAGTCGTACGATTATCGTAAGCAAAAAGCGATGGAAATGAAAAACGTGAAATCTAATTGGGTAGTTGAGAAAAAAAGCCTCTTTGAGTAAGTTTGCCTTTAAGTACGCATATTTTTATCCGGCCTACTCGAATTCACTTTTTTAATCGCGCGCTTTTAATTGGGTGACACCACAAATCGCAGTTTATCACGTTTAACGCAATCAGCGGCGAATATTTGATGAATTCGTTGCGTGCATCGAGAGATGTTTACGTAAGAAGATTGAATTTTTAGCAGGAGAAAACTGTTATAAAACAAATCCAATGATTCTATCTAAAGCGACCAGTTCGCCTTGGCCGTGATTATAATAATACATGCCACTTTTTTTTACTAAACTGCAAAGGCACAAGAGCCTAATCAGAATGTCATACTTTTACAAATATACCTGTTCGAAAATGCATTTATTCTACGCAACGCGTATGGCGAGGTTTATTCCGATCTTCGTATATTATTCAAAAAACAGAAATACTCACCGAGTGCCCTTTGCTCAATTTATGTTAAAATATGCTCTGTCAAACTCCGACAATCTAAATCGTGATACTGCGTAATCTACATAGATAATCTACATAGATAATCTACATAGGATAATCCACGTTGGTGTGAGTCATATTGAAAAATACTTCATTTAATTTCTTTTCGAAACGTTTCATAAAATATATATATACGCACGGAAAGAGTGATTTTGCTGAAGTATTTAAAAGTTTATATATATAATTTAGATCTGAAAAGAGTTTGGACGGTCAAAATAATTATGTATAGGATTACGTTCAAACATAATGAGAGGCACCGCAAAAAGTTTTGATATTCGAGCAACCAATTTGGGCGCTACGTAATTTTGATGGATCTAGCAAAATTATTTTCAGATCCAGTAAATTTTAGATATTTTTGCAAAATCGTTTCTCTTTCCGTATCGTTCACGTTTGAACAATATGGAACAACCGAATGAAACGTAACAGAAATTGAACCGTTTTCTCGTCATGACACCACCAGATTGAGATACATGATAGTGCAAATACGAGCAATTAGATGTACACTACTCGTCATTAACGGTTTGAATGCTATCAGAGATACAGTGTAATAACTGTGTGTATAATAATAGGCAATTGTATTTCTCCATTCTACGCATCGTCAACAAGAAGTCAATTAAAGACCAGTGGATACATTTCTCCGAAATTACCTTAATTTATTTACCATACCGTTAGCATGCGATCTCTTTCGTTAGGCTTTCGCCAAGTTAATTAACACACAAGTAGTACAGTCAACGTGTTGAATCCACGCAAACATCATCGCTCAATCCTCTCCCGTATCCTTCACCGTCCGCGTCATACGGTATTACGATACGCACATTCACATATTCATTGCATGCCTGTACAGTTACTCGTATCGCGACACACAAAGCTGAATCTTTCTCTGTTTTTAGTTGATAGTTGCTTATTGTCGGTATCGCACGAATTTGTTCCCGTGCAGTTTTCACGTGGATTTTTCGCGGGTGGTGAGCTCTCGCGGAAAATTAAGTATGCAAATTAAGTGTGCGACGGCGGGGCCAAGTACTCGAATACGTGTATTAAGAAGGCGTGAAATTAAAGACACGCACGTTTTTTAAACGCCCAGTGTGACACGCGACCGCGGTGCTCGTAACGATTTCTCCATTTGTCCTTATCCCCGTCGAAATATGTTCGGCCACGGTAAATCGCGCAAGCATAATAAAAAAGACGGTAACAGCAAGAAACACCACATTCGCAACTGGATGCACTCGAAGAAAAAGAAAAACGATAAAGAAGCTAACCTCTTTGCGTAAGTCCGATTTTTTTTTTTATTTTATCTAACTCTTATTATTCGTTACGACGATCGTTCTCGCGTATCGCAATCCGGAGTTCTTCTCCGTCGAAGCTCCAGAAAACTGAGAACTGCAAGAAATAGCAGGAGGGCCTGCTATTTCTTATCGATCTTTCGATGACTTCGATCTTCCGCGATGTGGAAAATTTGGAGCAGAATTTACCTAACGTCATTCGTCGCGTTTCCATTGTCACGAATCGACGCGAGAACGAGAATTTCCGTACGTCTCCAGTCTCGATGATTTTCAATTCACGCGGCAGCTTTGCTGAGCTCGACGCTCCACGAATCCCTTGTGTATTACACGTGCGTGCACACGCGTCTCCTGCGTGAGCACGACGGCGAAATCGTTCGAGATGCCTTCGTGGCTGTGCAGTTGCGATCGTATCCGTCATCGATCGCGACGATCGCGACCGTACCAACGGCAAGAGTGAGGCTCCGTAACGATACTCGTTGTGTTACCGCCAACGGTGCCGGCGGAACGATGCGCTTTAAAAATCCGTTGTGGCAGCATGGCAGCTACGAGTAAGTAAGTCGAGAGGGAAAAGACGGAAAAGTTGTCTTTTTGTTTCGGTGTGAATGGATTGTAGTTGTAGGTTAAGCTGCCCTTTGCTCATCCTATAATCCTATCACGTGTTCTCTCCCGCGGTTCGACATGGTTGAATTCTTTCGGTAGCTCGCAGGAACGACCGGCTCGCACTGTCGCCGGTGAATAAAAACTTGGAACCATCGTCCACAAAGCCTACTCGCCTAATCGTGTCGCGCGCGTCTATTCAATTTATTATTCTGAGAAATCCTACGTTTATTCTCTGTTTTACTGATGATTTGTAATATTTTTTTTATTTACAGTAACAACATTTGGATTATTGGACTAATTAAACTAAATGTTTTCAAATTAGTTGATTAAATAAATTAATTAGTGTAATTAAATTTAGTTAATTAAAATGTTTAATTATTGGAGATAAATTAACGTAACTGTCGAAAGGCGCTACATGGATAAGATATCTAATTAATTAAACTTAATTAATTAAATGTCTTGGTCCACACCCAGCCTTTTTATATTTTTATATGTTTTTGTTAATTATTTGCAATAATTAAAAATTTAAATATATTGTATTATTTGCGATTGCGCACGTTAAATAAATGATCGAAAATAAAGATTGAAGATGTCATTATCATTATTTATTATGTAAAAAATTTAAATAATTTAGCAAATGAATAGACGATAAGATTAATGACTTTGAACAAGGATTAATTAGGCCGACAGAATACTGTGACAATTTTCTTTGAATTCCGTGCTTCGATCAATACCGTACAAAGGTTGGTATTTGTAAATACTCCATGAGAGGAATCGTAAATGTGATCTGATGATCGGATTCAGTGGTTTCAAAACTCTGTTAGAAGGAACCTACTTCGGGGTCGCCTACTTTCTCTCCAATGACCATTTTTTCGTGCACACA